CTGGGGGCCTCCACACACCATCCTGTAGACATATGCCAAAGTCAGGGAAAGTTTATTTCATATTCCAGAAAGTTTGTTCTTCTGATCATGGTGGCACCTAAGTATCTAATTTAAAGTTCATTAAAGTACTTTTTAATTACTTCTGACAAAGGAAAGTGAATGAGGTGGGAAAACCTACGTAATGTCAAGTTGTTCTGCAGGGAAAACACTTAGAGAGTGCTGAACTGACAGTGTGGTTTTCCCCTGTCCTATTCTCATTTAATGGTGTGAATGCCACAGCAGTTTCAGGAGATGCATTGACTGTGCAAAGGCAGATTTACTCTGGGACTGTGTTCTTCTCAACAAGCAGAGACCCCAAATATTATGGGAATCTATTTTCATTGAATTGCAAGGGACCAAGATTTTAGTATTTGTTTTGTATATGCATGTCACAGTGCCTGGGTCTGCCAAACATAAAGGCAGCCTTTCGGGCCCACCCTATGAAGTATCTTTCCATATAATCTGGATTTTTTTTGTAAGGGAGGAGAAAGCAAAGGCTAACTTGATGTAAATAAATACAACCTCTGCTTGTGTTAGATTTGGGAAAGTTGTTAAAAAGATAAAAGCTGTAATAAACACTTGCCATATCTCTGGATTTCCCTTCCTCCTTTTCCCTTTTCTTTCCTCAAAGAGGGGAAAACAAATGAAATTCTTCTGAATGTGGCTCTATGAAAGGAGCTTTGCAACAAGCTGTTGGGAAGAAGGTGGTTGTTGTAGAATTCATCTGACAGCCTACAGTAAATCTGAATTAATTGCTCTCCACCACTTTATTGACTGGAGGTCCAGTCAATATAGTTAGTGAGTCTAGGGCATGAATTGGCTGATTCTAAAATGAGCATGTAATAGAGGTCAGGGGAATCATATGTCTGTGAGTACTTTTTTTCTACATTTAATTAAATACAGCACATCCTCAAAGTCAGATTCACAGCAGAAAAATAAGGTTTCCTTGTGAGTGACACCATCTTCCCACAACTACTTTTCATGGTTGAGGATGATTTCTTCTCTGGGACAGGTAAATCCTGCAGCAGCACAGGAGACAGACCCAGGAAGCCTCACACAGAAACCATTCCCTCATCCCGCTTGTGCCCGTGTGCGCTCCCATGAGTAAGCTGGAGGATGCGGTTGTGCTTGGCAACCTGCTTTATAGCAAACCTTTGTAAACCACTCATTTTTCAGGGCTTCCTTCTTCCAAAAGTGCTGTAATGAGACTGGAGGTCTGCTTGAAGCCCTATTAAACTTGCTTCTCCTAATTAACCGATGGACTCTAAGCCTGCCAACTACCAAACTAGACATTCAAATTCCTGACTATGCCATTGACAGGTAACTTTGCTAAAGGAAATAAACGTTAGCCCTCCGAAAATACATCAGACCTCCCTCAGGTAAGTGAAGACTATGAACAGTGACAATCCCTGCCCTTAAACACTGAGTAACACCCTCATCGTGCTCTCTAATAGAGCAAAGCCATTAAGTTGTCCCCATTGTAATTTAGATCACAGAAGAGACTTCCACAGATTCTTTCAGGTTAAAATAACTGGTATACAGAGAGTAGGCAAAATTATTCCGCTGTAGCTACGTGCTTAATTATATGGAATACTGCATAAATTGTCAAGTGCAAAGAATTATTCTGATAAATTAAAATACTAATTAAATAGGCTATTGCAGAATTTTGAGAACATTATAGGGCTCCGCTTCTTCAGGTAATTTGCATATCCTTCATCTAGTGAATTTAATTTAAAGGCCTCGGTTTTCGTGTGTTTGGAAGCCCTTTTTGTTTCAGTGGAAGATTAAAAAAGGGATTTATATGTTGCTAACTAGGTTGGGATTTTTTTTTGCTTTTTTTTGAATCGCTGTTTTCATTATGCCTCTTTGCTGATGAGTTTGTCAGTTCTCCATTAGTATCTCAGGACTTTAAACTGTGGCCATAAAAAATCAGCTTTGGTGGAATGTGCAATACACCATGTTACCCAGAATTATCATTTCCAGTTCATAAAATTTGCAAAGAAAACATCATCTGCTGTGTATTTGTATTGGAATAAAAGCTAGCAGGTAGTACACTAAAATACTTTAAAAAAATGTAGACCAGTCTTCAAAAGATTAGTGGGTTGTTCTTAATATCTGAATTTATTTTCCCACCACTTCTTCCTCATCTATCTGTAGGCTATTGACTATGTTTTATTGTCTAGAATTCTCAGTTATAGTTATAGATAGAAAAAAATAAGTAGTTATATTCACTGTTCAGCAGCTTGAAGCAGCTGCTTGATATGTAGTTGATGCTTCAGCTTCAGCACCACCATTTTTGACAGAATTTCTTGACCTTCCTGAACTGCTTGAGTTCAAGGTTAGCTAAAATACGCTCCGGTACACGCCTGGAGTGAGCATGCCGAAGACTGCTGTGTCTCTCCCCGCAATCTGACAGTGCCTGAGCTTGACCATTTTCAGGTTATGATTTAATCAATAACACGTCGTGCCTTCATGCTTCCTAATTTTGGCAGGGTTTATGTCAGCATGGCTGTCAGAACTGTCCTTTGTGGTTTAGCCAATATCAAGGGGGAAAGGGGGGTGTTAAGTAAACTTTTCCTTTTGTTTTTTAATATCAAAGCTTCAATAATTAAAGTCTGCAGGAAACCTATAAAAAGGAGGTCAAATATGTAATAGTAATTATAAAATTCAGTGATTCAGCAGACCCAATATTTTCTATTAACTGTTCATGCGGTAGGAAATTACACACTGGGATTTAAGCCTTGTTGCTTACTTACACCCATTTATTTTGCAGCCACTCTGCTGTGCAGTTTTCTTTATACTAACCTGCTAAAGAATCATTTGTTGGACTATTCAGTTTCTTTGAAGGAGGCTGCAGAGCTTTCTGTTTTTATAAATCTTCTAAATTTTTTCATTGGCTAGAAATCTACCTTTAAAGTCTATGCTGGGTGTGAGGCGGTCAGTGTGGTAGCGTGACGCACCTTGGCAATGAAATGGCACTTTCAAAAGGGAGTGTGTTGTTACGCGACATGGCAGGTCATCAGCCGTCAGTGAAGCAATATAGTCCAGAGACTGTCTCAAGGCTGAAAATCAAGCTTGTTGGCAAAGATTTACTTATTTTTTGGAAATTCATACTGCACAACATATACAACACAGTGAAAATGAGGCCTCAAATTGCATGGTCCAGGCCTGCCCTTCTCCTGTGGTCCCTGTGACTCTGGGTGGAATAAATATGTTTGTGAATGTAAAGCATGGCATAAGCATTAAGTATGTGAGTACTGTATGTGGGTTTTAGGCTGTTATCCAGCAAAACATGCATTTAAGCTTTCTTAGGTTGGGACTCCATGTTCCGATCTGCTTCATAGGTAGCATATTAAAAAGAATCAAAAATAAAGATGTATGGGTCTAAAAGGTGGACAGAGCTTTACTCTCCATTTAAATCAAGGGCAATATTCATCCCTTGCTGAAGGCAGTCAGAAAAATTCCTCTGTATTAGAATTGCTTGAGGTTTCACTTCTTAAGTCTTTGCACATACAAACTCTTATGAAAATCTTCCCACATTTTGGATATATGAGGTGCGATTGAGCCCTAATGATACGACTCGCCTCTGAAATAAATGTGAGTCATTTGTGTTGCACTTTGGACAAACTAAATAAAGTATCCGTTCACAATAATATTGCTTCTGAGAATTGCCTGCTGCAATCTGAACTGTTGTGAATATGTTTTGAATGGCAACAATTAAAGAGTATTTTTCACAAATGAAAGAAAAATATATTCATTCCTTTCAGTATTTTTATGTAAATTTACAATGTACAATATGTTCTAGCACACTTCTTGTCCTTTCTGGTAGGAATGTTTCCTTTAGGCAACTTAAATTGAGAAGCTGGGTCTATCCAAATTGTGTGTGTGTACAAAGGAAAGAGAGAGGTGCCTGCAGAAGTGTGTGAGATATGTGGGATGACTCATCGTATTAAATGTCCATCCCTTTCCATTGACTGCAGAGAGAACCTAGATGACTCACTTGGATTACATAGTCAATGACTAGACGGCTAAAGGGAGGAGAGTTTAACAAGGCTGTAAGGCTTCATTTCTACTTATAAATAAATCAAGCCAGGTGCCTGGGTTTTGGCCATAAGTCCAACTGACACAGTTTGCATCTAGAAGGTTGAAGTCTTCCCATCCAAAACCTTACCCGTACCCCCATCTGGGAATAATCTCATCCTTGTGCTGTCCCCAGAACTGTGGTGGGGCATTGTTTTGTGAGAATAGTAGCAGGCAGAGGCCAAAATCATGTCAAGACCATAGTAACGATTTAAAAGTATGGGCAATGGTAACACAGTGCTCAAGTTCATGCCCTGGAAATGTCTGGGTTACAAGTATAGATGTAGTCTTAGCGATTACTACTCTATTTTGTATTTGGCTGTGTTACGCTGGATTACTGTATTTTTGTTTTGAATGCTTTTACTGATATAGAAGCTGATAAATAGGGAAAATGTAAATTTTGAAAAGGAAAATATTGTGCATTGCATCCTGATGTTGTGAGATAAACTGTTTATCTTACCTGCTAGGTAACAGTCTGTTATTTGTTGCAAAATGTCCTACACAGTGACAGTGCTGTTGCAATGGTAAGGTGCTGCCCTGCTCTTCACTGCAAGGAAGACAGTGGGAAGTTTCCACTGAAGAGAACTTTCCAAACTTATTGTGTATATGTGTTAAATGTGTGTGACACTGTGTATACAAGGGAACTAGAATTAGTTTGGCTTTCTTTTTCACATAAAAATGAACAATTAATGGCATATATAGGCATTCAAAAAACTGACTAGCAGAGTTGCTATCAGGGAAAGATATTCCTTGGATGCCATAGGTAGGAACTGTCATGAATTTACTGATGGAGGAAAGAGGGTTGGTTATACTGTAAATGCTGCGAAATTGTGCATATTGCAGCTTTCCCGTAACTCTTTCAATCTCTATTTTCCTTACAGCCATAAACAAAGAGAAGCTTGAAAAAACAACTGGACTGAAAATTCTGCAGACTGGTGTGGGGGAGGTAAGTCACTTGGGGGCATTTTACACTCTCAAAAACATTTTAATTGTTGTTTTTTTTAAGAAGTCCTAGAGCTCATGAATGTTTGTGAGCTACCAGTCTGATAGTGCTAAGGGCCTTTTTATGATACAGTTGCATCTGTCAAAATACAATCTGCTGCACAAATAGCGCTGTATCCCACAGAGAAAAAAATACCATCCTTATGAGAAAAGTGCATCCGGCTTTAAGAAATGCAGTTTTTTGCTTTGTTGTATCACAGGAACAAAATCCCCAAAGATGAGCACAGCAACTGAAGTCGTTGTATTATTCCCCTTGGTTTTGATGGAGTGTTATCTCATCTAGATCAATGAAAGTTTAAATTTGGGGTAAAGAGTCTTCAGATGTTAGAGAGAATCTGACAGTGAATGACTTGCTTATTTTGGATGTAACTTGAAACATAAATAAAACATGTGTCTGTTATTATGGTGATATCACGAAGCAAAAACTCCGCTAAGCAGTTCATCATTTATTAATAAAGATGATGCTATCTGCTAAGAACCTTGTATGAACTACAGTTGATTGCTAATTCTCCTGCTAATTTTGTGTACACAGTTACTGTTTTTTTCCTTTTCATTTAAGTAATTTTCCTAGTGGTGAATGCTCACAGGGCTAGACAAATGCCTTTTTCTTGTGATTACATTATTCTCAGTATTAAGAATAATGAATTTGTAACTTGTAATATACTGAAGGAATTTACTTTTTTTTTTCTTTTTTTACTGATTTTCATTTTTTATCTTTCTAATTTTTATCAGTTCACAGCTAAGAACTTAACTTTCCAGGACTTCTGAGGTTCTTTGTGTAATTTTATTCACATTATTAAAAGACTTGGTCCTGGAAAGGTACCAACACTGCGACCTGCTGAGATGCTCAGGGTCAAAGCTGTAAGAATTAGAACTTGGAAACAAACATAGGTGAAATAATCAGAAAATGAAAGCCAGCAGCTCTCTTAACTGGAGCTGATTTAACTAGTTGAGGTTCTCAAGGGTGCATAAACTCAGGAGCTGGGAAGCATATCCTGGAGCATGGATGTGCACCTCAGGCCATGTCCTGACTTCAGGCCAGAGTGAAGCTTGCATTTGTGCTATCTGCAAGCCCTAGTTTCTGCTAAGTAACAGGAGAACCAGCACTGTGGCATAGACTATGGAAGCCACATTCAGTAAAATTTTACCCAACAGGACTCCTCATGCTAATGAAATACACCCATGTATTTTGTCCAATGCCAGTCATTGGATGGATTCCAGTTGGCTTCAAAGTCTGCTGGAAAATGAAAGCCCAGTTCACTTCAGATGCTTACTGTTAAATGAATTGTTGTCTTATATGTGGTCAGTGGAGAAAGAAAGGACTTTTGGATATTTGAAATGCAAGAAGTTGTCACTTGTTAAATGCATCATTAATCCATATCATAGTAATAGGGTTGTTGTAAACAAGGTAGTCTAAGGATGTACTGGAGATACAGCCTCGAGGACTTCCTAGCTTTTTTTAAGACCAGCTAATCGAACTGGAAAAAATGGACAAGTGCTTAGGCTAGAGATCTCCCCAGTCTGGTTCTTGTGTTTGGTTTAGTAGAAGTCACTGCAGAACTCACCTCCGATATATTTAGGCTGTCATAGCTTTTAAAAATTCTGGTGATACTACTTGGATTAATAAAGACTTTGACAGAAGGTTGTACTTTGCACTTTGCCAAATATGTATTTTTAGAAGGCAAAAAGTGAAAATGAATTAACTGAAGGGAAGCATACATTTCAATCTAAATATATTCCAGGCTACATCTGAGATATGGTGATCAGCAATGAAAGAACCAAGTGATTTGGAGCATTAAGGTGATGGAAGAACATTTATTCAGCTGCTTATATATTTTGTAGGATGTGAATTCTCCCAGCTGTGTACATTCCCCATTCTAAGTCTTATCAGATATGATTGTGTACATAATGAATACATTTCTGCAGTCTCACCTACATGAAAAATAATGGAGTGCTGTAACCAAGCTGTTTCGTTGTTGATAGGGTATCAGATTCAGGCTATTTCAGGTTAAATCTAACTATGTTAATCCAGTTTTGCATTTTGTTTTTGATTCACCCTGGTGTTTAACAGTGTCAAAATAATAGAAAGCACATATTTTAACATAATGAAGGAGCCTTTTGTTGAATAAGGATTTCTTTTTCTTCGCATTGTAGGAATGGAATTATATGTAATGGTAACTGTAAATCAAAGTCAAGATGCTCAAATCAAAAGTACTTAGAAAAAACTCTTTAGTTTCAGAATGAGAAATGGCCTTTTGTTTGGACAGTAGGTCAGATTCATGACAAAGTTAATGGATATATAATCTTCACTTGCAGGACTGTAAAATAAAAAGGATTGATTTTGCATGGCAAGTTTCATATCTGAAATAGCTCAAGAGAAATATAGCTGAGATACTAGTAACAAATGGAGCAGCTGTATAAACAAATGCAGGAACTGTTCTAAGATCAGCAATAATTCATGTGTTGCTCTGGACAGTGGAATCTGGTTTAGGTGTTGATCTATGATAATAGGATTTGTGCCTCAGTAAGAAATGTGTAGACACCAATGACTACCCAGGCCTTGGGTGCAGTAGAAGGAAATTGCCTCTTTCTCTGTGGAAAAAAGAAATGCTTCTCAGAGCTCCTCAATCTCTCTCATGCTCGTGCTCTCTCTCAAGAAAAGCATTTCAAAAGCAACAACAGATTATAAAATTCATGCCAAGTTTACTGAGCCGTTCAGTCAAGTCTGGGGAGGGCTGATGAATTTCTTTTATGTCACTGCATAAACATGTGCTATGCAGTCATTAACAACACGGCTCTGGAGTTTGCCACAGCTACAATACAGTTCATCATCTTTATGTCATGTAAAAGATTTCCACAGCTTCAGTGAGTTTTTTGGATACAGCTGAGGTTAGCTGTTGTGTCAACTTACGGCAGGCTCTGCTTTAGCAAGATTAAAAATGAGTTGCTTAGCTGCAACGTCAAAAGCTGCTCATGTGTCAGGACGTGGACTTAAAACTTCTATACTTTTCATGGGAAGGTTTGGATGATATAGTGCAAAATATTGTCTGGACTGCTGGTAAGCAGAACTTCTTTCAGGTCATTGTGGAACAACAGACCCTTACTGGTACTTCCACAGCAAATCCTCTTCAGCGTCTAACATTTGCCAGCAGAATATTCAACGGTCCAGGAGTTGGATTGGAGTTTGAGGTGCTGTGTATCACTCTTAAAGTGCTAATTATCTTGGCACCTATCTTGTTTTTAAGAAGGCTATTATACCAGAAAACCAGGAATAACTGGTGTAGAGAAAAGCAATGGCCATACTGAAATCCTGAGGATGTTTGCATTGCTGTAGTACTGACTATTGCTGGAATTATATTTCCTAAGATGGTTATTTTCTATTTATTCGGAGTTTTTCCGGCACCTATAACAGCTCTAAAAATCCTATACAGTAGCCCTCCAAGATTTGTTTGAGTCATTGTCATGCATGATGTTTGTGCCACACAAATTCATCATGAGCTTTTCACACCTTCTTGGTTATTCAGATATGATGAAACTGCAGTTGTCTTTGAGGTACTTTCTTTTGATCTCCCACACATGAAATAAATCTCTGAAGTCCTAAGGTCATCTTCAGAAGTTCAAGAACCTCTTACAGTTGACTGTATGTGAGGGTATGAATGTAAGTGTTGTGATATCTATGTGTATATTTGCATAATACCATAAGAGGCACAGTACTGGTAAAAAGCCTGAATAGCTAAACAGCATTTAAGCAGGACCTGTAACTCTGTTCTGGCTCCCAACCTGATGTGGACCATTGCATTTTGCAGAAATTGGAGTTGAGTTTGTTGCTCTGCATAGCTGAGAAGATCTTGGGGGCAGCTTTTGGTCTCACATGGAGGGAAAGCCTCCTTACCAGTAGCACCGCCCCACCTAACTCCTGCTGAGTTCAGGATTCAGCAGGGTTGGGAACCCGAGTCCCACGTAAATATTAGTCCAATTGGACTTGTTCCCAGGAGCTGGTCTCCAGCCCAAGGGAGCTCAGCAGATACCACAAACCGCGGCCCCGCACAGAGGTCATTGAGTAACCTGGAATTCCTTCCACATCCTATAGGAACTCAACCACTTCTTTCTCTTCACGTGAGCACTTTTGAATTATTATAAAAGCGCAGCATTTTTCAGTTCAATTCCACTCTGAGCTTGGTTGTGACCAGAGTTTGTCTGGTTCAAGTCCAGCTCCAGTTTAAGAAAATTTCAAATAATGGTTCAAATGCAGTTACTATGGCATGGAATATTAACTGTTTATCCAGCTTTTGGCTGAAATTTGTTTTCAACAACAGTTTCAGTATAATAGGTCAGGCTTTCCAATGGCTCAAGAAAGTGTAATGATTCAAATCAGGTTTTGGAGGCTAAGAGTCTGTGATTTGAATAATAAATTATCTGAATCAAGTCCTGAAACAAACTGAGGGAATAGCACTGTTTCTGTCTCGAACTAGTGAAACAGCACCCACCCTGGAATACGTTATTTTAAATTAACTCTTCCAATTTGCCAGCAGGCCTGCACAAAATACACTCATCACTGGAATTGTATAACTTTGTAGGATTTGAATCATGGTTCTCATATGACAGACAAAAGAATTAGAATAGTTTTCTAAACCAAATAGAAATAACCCAAAATGTATGTGAAATGAACACTTTGCTGTACCTCTAGGTGTTCTAAAATAGAGCAGCAATATTTTGACGTGTTTCAGGATATTGTCATTTAGAGATATTTTGATAGGTGTAGAATTATGTTGATGTTGCATGAAGTGATGTTACTACAATAAAGAAAAGAAATCTGCATTTAAAAATTCTAGTGAAGCTAGAGGACATGATAAGACAGACTTTCCAGTGATGTGCAAGCCTCTGAGACTGGAGTCAGATTTCTAACTTACTATGTTCCTTAATGTTTCCAAATTTTGTCATTAT